GTCTATGAGCGATTCAAAGAAAGAGAGGTCATTCAAGGCTTCAGCATATATTCTGCTCTAAAACCAGCTTGTAAGTTTAGCACAGCTGCAGCATTGTCATCCTGAAGACATCCGGCATCTATCTGTGGTAATCAAACATTCGGAACCATCCTTGGCAACAACCGTGTACTGACTCCATTGGTGGTCTTTGNATTTACATCTCTCGCTACGTTGGTGGTGTTGAAAATCATACTATCCAGGGTAGCACCATACCTAAAACAAGGGATAATATGTTGTACAGCGTCACGGAATGCACGATGTTGGGGGGGAATGTACGCTAGAAATTTGCCCGCATGAACATCCCACGGAGCCCCAAGGAGTCTGCAACAGAACTACTAGTAAAACCAATCACTACCAGTTGAGATACCTTACGTTGCTTAATGTTAAGACAAACAACAACAACAACAACAACTTCTCTGTCCCCTTCCAAATGTGAGCCCTGCCGGCTCACTACAGCTCCTGTTTTCCCACGAACACAAGCACATAACCTGCACATCCCCTAGCTATGGACTTGCATACACCCGACATCGAGGGGAACAAGGCGGGTGACCCAAAGGCCTGCCACGAGCAGTTGGTGTCCTTGATCGCGGCGAATCCACCACAGGAAGATGGCCCAGCAACATGTGCCGCGTGCGTTCGCCTTTGAAGCGGCCGCTGGAGTCGGAGCAGAGTAATGCGATCATTCCACTGCTCCCGAGCCCATGCCTAGCATGAAAGCCGCAGCAGCCAAGGTAGCTGCGAAGCACCCGGGTTTGTGTGGCGTGTACCACGCCCACATCATAGCGGCCGTCAAGACCCAGGACGTGCTAGCACGATCGGGCTCGACGGCGGCAAACAAATACCGCAATCAAGTGAGTTTGCCACTTGAACTTCTCGTACAAGGGGCGGGTGTGGTGTAGCTGTGGGTTGTTGTACATCGATGCTGTTGTCTAAGGAGCACGAATCGAAGGTACTGAAGGTACGTTGCAGCAGTCCTTGCCCCTGTGCTGCAGTGATACACTGACTTGTACTTGAGGGTAATAATAGCTGCCACCTATCTGTTCAGACTGCTCGAATTCAAGCACACACCGCAGGCTACTCCTGATTTTTTTTTTTTTCCTGTTGTCTGTATCCTTAGGTATGCATTGTAATATCATAGTCCGTCCGTCCGTCCTGCTGCCTGTCGACCCGCTGTTTAGAGTACGCGCCTGCTGCGTACGCGCCTGCTGTGTAACACGCGTCGTAGACGATGTTATGTATACTGCTGTACGATGTTCTGTGTTATTGGTGTTGTTGGCCCACCTTTTGTCTGTTGTCCTAAACTCCGAAAATGGTGAAACGGTAGAGCTGTGCGCGTGCGGTGAACATCGTGAAAATGCACCCGTCACCACCCTATCGTAGGAAGCCGAGTTGCAAGACGCGTGTCGCCTTGCAACGCCGATCAATAGGCTCACAGCAGTGAAGGCTGATGGACACGCTCCTCGCTTTATCGGTCCATTTGAATGTGTAGACTACATGTACAGAGTTCTAATTCTATAGCTCCTACGTATGACGTGTGTACTCCGGTCATTGCATGTAATGCCACAGGCTTGCTATGGCGTGGCGATGGCCATGAATGCCCGTGGCCAAGGAGTGCAGCTGAAGAGAGCGGAGTGTTTCACGCACGCTTGCCGTGCGTTATGGCCTGGAAGCGAGGAATTGGACACCTCTGTGGTTGAGGGGTTCTCGAGTTAGTGGTGGCAGCCGTCCCTCGCAAGACCTAGACTACATACTCTAATTTGACATGTTGGCGTGTGGCTAAAGTACTGTAGTTGGTGTGTTCAACGAAGCGTCTACGGAATCAAGTGAGTCGCGAAAGTACCACCCACGTTAACCCTTTGGAGTCTACAGGCCTTCTGACAGATCATTGATTGATCATTTTTTCCATATATATTTTTTTGATAGCGCTGAACAGACGGTCTAGTCGTATAGGGGAGGATAGGACAGAAACCCCGAACCACAAGCAATGGAGTTGTAGAGCACACCAGGGTAGAGCGCGCTCGCCCCACCAACGTACAGATGCAATCACAGGGAGCATCCACCAGGGGTGCGCCGAGAGGTCATGAGGAGGCCTCCACGCCCCGCGTGGTCTGCCCTGTCTATCTGGGCGGCGTTGTTGGTAGCGCTTGCGGTAGCGCTGCCGGCAGCGCCAGTTGCCATTCCTGCTCGTACATCGGCGTTGGCCGTCTCTCTCCGGCAGCCATCCACACTTGCTGTGAACGCGGCCACTGAGGACAGCGAGCTTGGCATGGAGGACAGCGGATCTGCAATCGACCCAAGCGTGCCGAGTGATGATGAGGATCTGTGAGTTGGATATGGGCGCATCGCACAAACCGATATATGCTGCGAACTCGCAATACGCTTTAAGTTATTGCGAGTTCGCAGCATATATCGGTTTGTGCGATGCGCCCATATCCAACTCACAGATCCTCATCATCACTCGGCACGCTTGGGTCGATTGCAGATCCGCTGTCCTCCATGCCAAGCTCGCTGTCCTCAGTGGCCGCGTTCACAGCAAGTGTGGATGGCTGCCGGAGAGAGACGGCCAACGCCGATGTACGAGCAGGAATGGCAACTGGCGCTGCCGGCAGCGCTACCGCAAGCGCTACCAACAACGCCGCCCAGATAGACAGGGCAGACCACGCGGGGCGTGGAGGCCTCCTCATGACCTCTCGGCGCACCCCTGGTGGATGCTCCCTGTGATTGCATCTGTACGTTGGTGGGGCGAGCGCGCTCTACCCTGGTGTGCTCTACAACTCCATTGCTTGTGGTTCGGGGTTTCTGTCCTATCCTCCCCTATACGACTAGACCGTCTGTTCAGCGCTATCAAAAAAATATATATGGAAAAAATGATCAATCAATGATCTGTCAGAAGGCCTGTAGACTCCAAAGGGTTAACGTGGGTGGTACTTTCGCGACTCACTTGATTCCGTAGACGCTTCGTTGAACACACCAACTACAGTACTTTAGCCACACGCCAACATGTCAAATTAGAGTATGTAGTCTAGGTCTTGCGAGGGACGGCTGCCACCACTAACTCGAGAACCCCTCAACCACAGAGGTGTCCAATTCCTCGCTTCCAGGCCATAACGCACGGCAAGCGTGCGTGAAACACTCCGCTCTCTTCAGCTGCACTCCTTGGCCACGGGCATTCATGGCCATCGCCACGCCATAGCAAGCCTGTGGCATTACATGCAATGACCGGAGTACACACGTCATACGTAGGAGCTATAGAATTAGAACTCTGTACATGTAGTCTACACATTCAAATGGACCGATAAAGCGAGGAGCGTGTCCATCAGCCTTCACTGCTGTGAGCCTATTGATCGGCGTTGCAAGGCGACACGCGTCTTGCAACTCGGCTTCCTACGATAGGGTGGTGACGGGTGCATTTTCACGATGTTCACCGCACGCGCACAGCTCTACCGTTTCACCATTTTCGGAGTTTAGGACAACAGACAAAAGGTGGGCCAACAACACCAATAACACAGAACATCGTACAGCAGTATACATAACATCGTCTACGACGCGTGTTACACAGCAGGCGCGTACGCAGCAGGCGCGTACTCTAAACAGCGGGTCGACAGGCAGCAGGACGGACGGACGGACTATGATATTACAATGCATACCTAAGGATACAGACAACAGGAAAAAAAAAAAAATCAGGAGTAGCCTGCGGTGTGTGCTTGAATTCGAGCAGTCTGAACAGATAGGTGGCAGCTATTATTACCCTCAAGTACAAGTCAGTGTATCACTGCAGCACAGGGGCAAGGACTGCTGCAACGTACCTTCAGTACCTTCGATTCGTGCTCCTTAGACAACAGCATCGATGTACAACAACCCACAGCTACACCACACCCGCCCCTTGTACGAGAAGTTCAAGTGGCAAACTCACTTGATTGCGGTATTTGTTTGCCGCCGTCGAGCCCGATCGTGCTAGCACGTCCTGGGTCTTGACGGCCGCTATGATGTGGGCGTGGTACACGCCACACAAACCCGGGTGCTTCGCAGCTACCTTGGCTGCTGCGGCTTTCATGCTAGGCATGGGCTCGGGAGCAGTGGAATGATCGCATTACTCTGCTCCGACTCCAGCGGCCGCTTCAAAGGCGAACGCACGCGGCACATGTTGCTGGGCCATCTTCCTGTGGTGGATTCGCCGCGATCAAGGACACCAACTGCTCGTGGCAGGCCTTTGGGTCACCCGCCTTGTTCCCCTCGATGTCGGGTGTATGCAAGTCCATAGCTAGGGGATGTGCAGGTTATGTGCTTGTGTTCGTGGGAAAACAGGAGCTGTAGTGAGCCGGCAGGGCTCACATTTGGAAGGGGACAGAGAAGTTGTTGTTGTTGTTGTTGTTTGTCTTAACATTAAGCAACGTAAGGTATCTCAACTGGTAGTGATTGGTTTTACTAGTAGTTCTGTTGCAGACTCCTTGGGGCTCCGTGGGATGTTCATGCGGGCAAATTTCTAGCGTACATTCCCCCCCAACATCGTGCATTCCGTGACGCTGTACAACATATTATCCCTTGTTTTAGGTATGGTGCTACCCTGGATAGTATGATTTTCAACACCACCAACGTAGCGAGAGATGTAAATCATGGTAAATATAGATGCATTTGCAAAGACCACCAATGGAGTCAGTACACGGTTGTTGCCAAGGATGGTTCCGAATGTTTGATTACCACAGATAGATGCCGGATGTCTTCAGGATGACAATGCTGCAGCTGTGCTAAACTTACAAGCTGGTTTTAGAGCAGAATATATGCTGAAGCCTTGAATGACCTCTCTTTCTTTGAATCGCTCATAGACGCCATAGAATCTTACATTGGCGATTTATGTCATGAACTCAAAGTGCCACGCGATGACATTGCGGAATGGGAGGATAATTTGTACGACGTGATAGAACAAAAAGTGACTGACGCGGACAAGAGGGAGGTTGCTAAGCCTCTTACGGGCCACATAGATTTTGCTGCAGCTAGGACATCTTTTCAACAATTGCACAAGAAGGTGGTGTTTACGAGAGTCGACAAAGCGGCCAACTGCATCTGTATCACTTGCAAGGCGTGCTATATTGAAGGACCGGGGTATAGGACAGTACACGGAGAGTTGGAGCTGGTGAAACAGACGACCATTGACCGACAACACAA